AAGATTATAAGAGAATAATTAAAATCCAATATAAGTACCCGATTAAAGGTCGATTTCAAAACTATTTTTTCTAAACGAGCCGTAACTTCCGCAGTTAGAAGTCCAATAAGTGCATCGTAATTGGAAATTGTTAAACTATCCTTAAATCCTCGAAGTAGACCCTCTAAGTTTGTGATTAATGTCTGCACAAATGGCTCGTCCGTTTCGTATCTCAATAATTCATCCTGCATATGAATTCGTTATGTATTTAACCATTCGTTATATATATTTAGAGACACAAAGTTTATTCTTGTAGGATATACCTCATTGATATGATGATCAATGGATAGAAACGCATCGAGCCACGGAGTGACTCTAGGTTTTACGGCGCTGACGCGCAACTGTTCTAAACCACAATCGATGATGCCTCGTAAAATCAATATAACTCCCTTTAGACTGGACAAACAACTGTCAATTTTGCCTCTATCCTTCTTTTGCATATTGGGAAACGTTGCGTCTATCTCTGCACCAAGACTCTTGCATAATGTTTCCACATATTCTGTGCTCACATCAGTATTATTTAAGTACGCCTAAATAAATATGAATAATTATAAATATAAAATTACAGATAAACGTATAATAAAACTGTTTAGTAATATATATTAATATGAAAATAACATGTAAAGTCGTAGATTAAAAAATTTTACCAAGAACATAAGACGGGCGCATTCTGTATCTGACGTTTGTAAACGACCATGTTGTATACTCGTCTGGAGAGCACTGTACGCTTGTGCCAGATCCAGATAGCCTGCTGGATAACCCTGACGTAATCTGTTCCTCAATCTATTCGCAAACTCGCCTTCCAAGATGCCACAAGCCATATTAACGACAGCACAAACACCGTCTATACTCCAACTCGACATAGCTCGTCTGTGTAGACATTACATTCATTATAATTTTCAATAACATACATATCGTATGCATAAATCTGGTGATATATACCGTATGCATTTTTGTACAATGAAAAATACATCGTCAACCATGCTAGAAGTTTGTTGATCTGGATCTAATGCATCCATTCCTAAAGCCTTATTAACACTCTCCTCGAGAAAATATCTCTCTAATGCAAGATAGGCACCAAGCAGCTCTTGCATACCATGTGCCAATTCGGAGTTGTTTATCGTCATTTCAAATTCATTAAGCAACTCTGTGCGTTGCGCCTCATCTGTGGTACTGATCTCTATATCATTCTGCAAAACAAACAACACATGAATCTACATTGCTAATTTCTTATGTAACATACTGACTGAGTCAAATACCTTAACTCTTCTTTTTAAGAAACGTATGTAAAGTTCTGCCCTCGAATGCATTATAGTAATTTCTCCTAAGAGAAGATCAAGTTCCTTAGGGTCAAGCCTTTCAGGACTCGGTTTTCGCAAGTACTCATTTATCATTTGTACATTCTTGGATATACATCTATGTTTCGTAAATACTACAACAATCTTCTTGACTTGTCTATTTGTAAAAAGGCATTTGTAAATAAATTAATTTTTTTTTTAAAAGTAGAGAAGATCATCTAATTTGATATGCAGTTTATTGTATGTGCTATTCTTACCTATCACACTCCTTCTGTAAAATCGAAATTGTCATTAATAGTCGACCAGGGCCATAATAAGTTTCAATGATCGGTTGATGCACTTCTACAATACGTGCAATCCCTTCGAACAAGAGAGTCATAGTGTCAGCAAAAATAACAGCTGCTCTCTTATCATTACTTTTAATTTCTAGTGCTGCTTGTAGATTCTTCTGTGCAGTCTCATGTAGCTAATATAAAAAAATGAAAAATCAAACAGTGCCATCTTCTCAATAAGATTTTAGCAAATATAATTTTACATAATATTACATACTTTGGTGCATAAATAACTGCAAAACTTCTTTAATCCTTCTAAGTGCATCCCCAACAATGGAAATATTTTGAAAAATCTCTCAACGGAAGCCAGATCCTCAGATTTCACAGCTTCGTCAAATTTATGTGTGACAACGGCTCTCAATTCCATTGCAGCCTGTTGCAAGGTGACCAGGGAACTGCTAATACTAGTATGATCTCCCGATACATCTTCGGCTGTTCTCTCCAGTAATTGTTGGTCCATTGCTAAATAACGATGAACATGTGCAGCACCTTGCTCATAATCCTCATTACGCAGCGCAGTCGCTACTCCCTCACTGCATAATTGCAAGTCTAGTATATCATTTATTCTACTTTGACACTCGCACACTCTGCTCTGTAAAATAAAATTATAAAATTTAAGTAATTAGAAAGAGAATTATATGACTTATCTAAAAATGTTTTCATTGTACTATAACATACTCTTGCTAAGTCCAACTGTCTCACTTTAGCGCTAACATTTTCAGCTAATTCGTTGGTACGAGCGATCATATTACAAAACTTCTCTCCTTCTGTTCGTATCAGTACAACATTTGGCAATACCTTGCCAATATTTTGCAGTTTTGCTTCTACGTGACATCGTCGGGTAAGAATTGTATCCAGATTTTTCTTTATAAAAACCTAAAAATTTACAATTTTTTTTCTATGAAATATATAATATAATTTATCCAAATTTTTATATATAATGATGCTTCTTCATATGTAATGCAATAGATCTAGAGAAAATAAAGAAACACAGAAAAATCTTGCATTTAGTTCTAAGAGATGTATCGTAGAGATTTATGCCGCTCATAAATATTGTATAATCAAATATTAATTGCAATTCGAACCTCGTCTTCAGACAATTTGTCCAATATTCGTTGCAGATTTTCTTCATTTACCGGCAAATCCATATTATCAGTAAGTCAATTAATTGATGACGATTTAATTTTATAGTGCTGAGGCACTTGATATTTCCCATACGTCACGTATTTCACGCCCACGTTGTCACATTTATCACATTTGTAAACAATAACTACTGGCAATGATAAGAACGAGTATCTATAAAAAATAGTAAAAATCTGATTCGTGTTAGGTGCGTTCCAAATTATGCATGAGATAAAGCTGGAAACACAATGAAAAGCACAGGCAATAGAAACAGAAAATAACAAATTTCAACCTATCAGAAAATATATGTACTAGAACGGACGCTTTCTAATAGGTTGAAATCTCATTCCCTGTTTTTATTGCCTGCGTTTTTCATTGTGTTTCTGGCTTAATGATCGCGTTCAGGTGTATCCTTTTAGATCATCCAATAGCAGCGAGCGCTCACGGATTCGCTCCGCAACAGTTGAGCAGGATTGGGTACGTATTATACACGAAATTTTTTATCTTGTCCACATTACCATGGTACAGTAATGCTCGTATTCATAGTCCAGACCTTGTACTTAAGACTTCTTTAAATTTATCTTTAAGGGTCCTCTACATAGAAGTCGTAGACGTGGAGTCTTAAGTCGGGAAATCAACCAATCAAATATAAGGAGAATACTCAATTAGAATTGGTCAATTACTATGATTTAAGACTCCACGATCGTCTGCGACTTCTATATAGAGGACCTTTCAGATGCTCAGTAGGCAATAAAATAATTCATAGAGTATTTGAAGATAAATTTAAGAAAGCTTTAAATATAAGGCTTAATTATAAATACAGGCATAAGTCGAAAATGGAGGACTTTTGCACTACTTTAGTATATTAGAGCTTTAAAACTCGCGCTCCAAGGGAATGTAGTATATTGCCGCGTATGGTCCGCGTTGGCCAATAATCGCGCTCCTGCTCATACCACATGACGTCACACGAATCGCGCTCGTCGCGCCGCCGCTGTGGAAGGGGTTAGGAAGGAGGGTGATCGGGCTTCTTCGCACATCCCATAGTCCCATACGCGTATTACCGTACTGAAAATGGCCGCCAGCTGTCATTCGCTTGTGAAGTGTGGCTTGTTGTGAAGGAAACACGACGCGGATTCGTTACGAGACGGTTTCTCGAAGCGCGTAGCACACCGCGGGGATGCAATGTACTTTTGTGACGACACGCAGCTCGTTGGCTAAGACACACGAGATTGTCGTGAGTGAGGGAAAAAGAGAGGGAACGAACGAGCGAACGACAAAGTAGAGGAAAGAGAAAAAAAAAGAGTGGGGAACGAGAGAAAGTATACGGCGCGACGGCGATCCCCCTGATGGTGTTGCTTCCACAATTCCATGAGAGTGTGGCTGTTTACAATTCCTATTTCACGTGAAGTGTGTGGCTAGTCTGTTGCCCGCGCGATCGCGGTAACGCCACCGTAACGCGACCGAGTTCGGAGTCGTCCACCGCAGCCGCCTCCTCCTCCTCCTTTTCCTCCTCTTCCTCCTCCTCCTCCGCTTCGATCCGTTTGCGAATCGGTCTCGCAGTAGTCGCAGTCGCGGAGCTCTCCCGATACTCCTTGCCCCGCGATACACGGCCTTCCCTTGGGAGTTCTCTCGATTCGCTTGTTTTACACTCCTCAGGGCAATTAAGGTAAACTTTTATAGGATAGCAATAGTATTCTAGATAACCTTTCAGATACTGTTTGATTTATGTTCACTTGTCCAGTCTCTTATTTTTTTTACACAATGATATCTATATCTTGTGTTACGCGTTTGAAAAAATGATTATGTTTAAAATATATATGTACATATGGTTTTTGTAAGTATTTTTTGTAGTTTTCTAATAATGATGTAATTTTTTAATAATAATGTCAATGTTATAATAAATGTGGAATAAAGATAATTGTGTTGTAAATGCAATAATTGCATATATTGCTGATTATTTTATTTGAAGGATTTGCTGCAATGGTAGATCCACAACAATATAGCCAAACATGTGATAATAGTATTTTTTCATCACTAACTTTGGAGTTCATTTATTCCATTTTTATACAATATTTGTTAATCCATTGTTGCAGCAAGTCTTTCAATTCATTTAATAAAGTTTTATATATTTTTATTCAAATAAGTGGTGATATAAATTTTTATGTTATGAACATAATCTAATATATAAATTTATCTCTTTATATTTAAGGAAGCAGAATGGGTTCCAGTCAACAGTTCTCTCTTAGATGGAACAATTATTTAAAACACATTACTTGTGCTTTTGAAACATTGAGGTCAGATGAAGATCTCGTGGATGTTACTTTGAGCTGCGAAGGCAAAAAAATCAGAGCACACAAAATGCTATTGTCAGCATGTAGTACATACTTTAGAGATTTATTTAAGGTAAATGCATACATTTCTGATTCATTTATTATGTGTTTAAATGTAGAGACATTTTTGTAACAATTATTTGTTATATAGGAAAATCCATGCCAGCATCCCATCATAATATTCCGCAATGTAAAATTTGACGACTTGGCTGCCTTGGTAGATTTCATGTACCAAGGCGAAGTGAATGTTATTCAAGAGCAACTAGCAAGTTTTCTCACAACAGCAGAACTCTTGGCAGTACAAGGTCTTACAGACGGCACAGGAAAAGATGACACTCTAGTAGAAGTGAGTTATTAGTATATAAAATAATTTATAATTTCAGAAATATTGATCTCAGGTAGAAAAGCAACTGAATAAAATGATATGTTTGTAAGTTCTCTCTCGCTCCTCCTCCTCCTCCTCCTCCTCCTCCTCTCTCTCTCTCTCTCTCTCTCTATTGTAGTTGTAATAAATTTTAGAAGAATGCGTACATGCATCAACTCGCTATCATATTTATTACTATTCCTAATTGCTTGAAAACTATGGTCTTCGATTTTGTTACAATTTAAATGAAAAGAGAATATAAATTCCAATTCCTTGCTCAATTCTGGAGACTTGGATTTATTTATTTATTTATTTATTTTTTAAATTTATCATTGTTATTATTTAAAAATGTCTCTTATAGAACAACATAGTACTGTGATTTGTTTATCTCCAATTAATTAAGTTCATATTTCGGATATTTTATTTATATCTTGATTGAATATATATTTTTTTTTCTTACTGAAAAATCCTAGTACTGTATAGGATAACAAATTCAGAAATCTAACCTGGTTTTTTAACTACTTTAATACTGTATAATTTAGCATCTTATTTATGTGTTATATTATTTTTAAGGATGACATAGAAATTCCCAACGAGCCTGAAGTTCAACTGCAGAACACTTCCGGTAAATCCACGGGAGATAACAAGAGAAATAAGTCCCCATCGTCTCCGATGCCATACCATGCCGTTGAATTACAACCCGAAGTGCCGCCAAATAAAAGGAGAAAAATTCGAGAAAATATGAATGTGAACGCGGAGAAGAATTCAGGGATCAATGCGAAGGATTCCGAGAAAACGGCGGAAAATCAGATGGGACCGGGCTCCGATCCGGTCGAAATAATTCCTCTTATGCCGAACTTAAAGCTGGAGATGCCGGAATACTTGGAACAAGATGGTAGCAGTTGTAGTTATGAAGATCAGAGTATAGGCGACAATGCACTGAATAAGATTGCTATAGACGATACGTCGTCGACTACGCCTGATCACGAACAGAAGGTCGACATCAGTCAAACATTTTATACGAGTCAATCGGCATCGGACGGTTTGGACAGCAAACATCAAGATGTTGGTAAGTATCTTCATATGTGATAATTTCTAGAATTTGCTAAAATATTTTTTACCTAATTTATATCTTGATAAGTTGTCAATTTTCAATTTTATTTATCTTATTTATCTTAATTATCTTAATTAATTGTCAGTTTTTGCGCAGTTTGATGATTTTTTTTGTCTATTAGGACATCTACTATCTAAACCAAGTACTTCGGGAGAGAGAGCAACACAGGATGCGGTACAGGGTAAGTGATTATCTATCCTCTTGTTATTATCTATAAATTGTGTGATATGTTGTTTGTTTTGCCATTACAACATAATTACGACATGAAATTGCAATAGATTCAATAAATTATTAATTATTATTATATTAATTATATTTAATCATAGATTATTTAAATTAATCCTTTAAATCAGAGTTTGAAAATTAATATTTTTAATTTAAGCTATAATGTAAAAAATAAATTATTATATTAAATCAACAAATTGGAGATTGTAATATATTGGAGCAGCAAATTATTTTTATTTAAATTTGGTATTTAATCGTCTACTAGTATTCAAGAAATTATTTAAAGTATCATATAGTAACAGTAATATAGTAGCAATACAGTATAATGACAGTATAATGGCAATACAACAAGCTTCTAAGTTTTGTATCCACATGATCCACATACTTCATACGTTTGCAATCTTTTAAAAATATGCATCTACCTGATATTTTGGATAGTAATATATAAGAAATTTTATACATTAGTTTCAATTATAAACTGCTCTGTACACCTGCATTCTAACTTCAGTGGTGATGGATTAATTGCATGTACTGTGGGTACAAAACCAAAACAATACTTTAAACATCTTGATACATGAAACATTAATATCATAGGAGTTACTTAGTTTCATGGATTAAGATTCTGTAATAATTATTTTGTATTACAATAAGAAGGATGACAGGATTCCTTTTTATTGTGATATTATAATCTATTAAGTTTGAGGGGTAGTTAGTTGATTGCGTTTTCACATCAAACTGTACGGTTTGGTAGCTATGCAGCTTTGCATTACTTATACACGCACACAAATGATAATTAGAGAAAGAGATTAGGATTAAATCCAAAGACAATGATAGTATAAGATTTACACAGTGGAAACGTTTATTTACTATTACTTTACAAAACGAGTATTTGAAAACAAATATTTTAGATCTTAATCATAATTTTTTTCTTCGCGTAGACCTGGTTCTTACTAGCATGACAAAATACATATTTAAAGATATAAAAAAATCGATAACGCTTTTTACCATTTTATAAAAACGGCATCACATTTTATTTTATAACATATATTGCTATTAAAACTTCATTAGTTTTTGCAATACTCTGTGAAATACTGTCAATTGTTTTCTCTTTGACCTGATTACTCTTGCATTATTAAACGAAATCAGGTTTGCAATCTTATTAAAAGATTTCTGAACATTAATGATAAATATATGTATGATACATTCCCTGTTTTACAACAGGGAAAAAGACTACTTTCATTTCCATCCGATTATATTGAGATTTACCTTCAATGTACAGAGTGCATGGTGTTTTGGATGTAAATGTATGGTACAGGCACTCGGGTGTAGGTTGAACTGTAGATACTAGTAAGCATTGCCAAGTGCTGTATGTGTGCCGACAATCATCAATATTCCTTTTTTTAATAACTCGATCAAAGCCACCACTATGTTCCTTATGCGCACTAACTGTAAGCATACTTCTGTGTATATACTAAAATAAGAAATACCTTTCGATACTGGTTCAAGGCAATTTCTTCGTAAAAATATCTAATTCGTGTGTATAGCGCGAATCCCACTACATACACACATGGTTTATTTGCATGTAACGTTAATCTTAAATGTACGGGTATATTGATTTTTAAATGTTAGAATGAAACAGTGCAAGTCAAATTTATAGAATTAGTATTTGCTGCAAGTTTTGGCGAAGCTTATTTTGGAAAATTTTATTAATATGGTCGAATATTCAGAAACTCTTTTAATAATTTATATAGCAATTAATTTTTTTAGCGAAATGCTCTAAAAAAAACTCTTTTAAATATTGTTTCGATAACGAATATTTTCAGAAATTTCATACTTTATAAATGAGGAGAAATTTCGTCCAAATTTATTTGTTTTTAATTGACAGCCCAAGATGTTAAAATAATATCTTCCATTGATGATATTGCAACATAATTTTACCATAATTATATCATTATCATTACAAGAATAAATTAGTTAATAATATTTATATATATATATATATATTTTATGAAAATTATCTCGGACGTAATTGTAAATTTCGCACGTACTCTCCGAATCACGAACTTCCTGCGATCGTAATGATCGCTGTATACGGATTAGAATTCTATTAACTTGCAGAATGTATCGTTACATAGATCGTGAGATATTCGCGCAAATATGAACTAATTCTGAAGCAGTCAGGTGGTGGTGGTGTTCTGGTGACAGTGGCATGCGCGTGCAATCCTTCCTTAATATTTGATAATTTGAGATCAGTTCTTTCCCTTCTTGTATGAAGCAAAATTCTATATGGTAAACGGGTGCGTATGGGAAATACAGCGATCAATATTCGTTGCATCGATATTCCTTCGGAATCCGTCATTTTCGGCGTTCTTTGATATTCTGATTCCGATATATTATATAATATCCTAATGGGAAAATAGAACTCTAGAAAGATTAAGCCTAACAATAGACTCGCATGATTAAACAAGAAAATGTTAAAGGAAATAAAGATGTGGCATGCATAATAGGATAAAATTGCATCAGTTATTAAAGCTGTACCAAGATACAACAGATATTTTCGGATTATTTATGATTTATTCATGATTTTATTTTTAATACATATATTAAATAAATATTTATTGTTTATTAAATATATTATATATTCATACGAAAGAAGATGGATGAAGAATGAATCTTACGGGAATAATAGAAATGAAACTTTAGCCCGCGCAATTCATCATCTATAAATTTCTCTTGACATTTTATTAATAAAATATATATTAAACACGTAAGAAGAGAATTAATTATCTTTATATTTTATATTTATTATATTTTCTCACTTTATGCAACAATTTAAGTTCATTGTCAATTAATTGCATCTATACATATATTCGAATTAAAATTAAATGAAAACGAAATGCACAAATTGAAAGCAATGACGGATTTTGGAAGACTATCGACACATATTTTCCTCGAGAATCTCGAAGAATGAGCCTGGTGATTGTAAACGTATCTTGACCCGACCCGAAATTCTTTGGTTACAAGTACATATGACCGGAGAAAGATTAAAAAGAAAGAAAAAGAAAAGAAAAAAATAAGTGTTTCGGCAGGTAGGTAATACAAGATCTTAGCAACGATCGCTAAAGCAGAAGCATGAGTTCTTTTAGTAGTCACGACATCAAAAAGCTTGTTCCTTCTTTTCAAGTACTAATGTTATTACGTAAAACGTCGTTAACGTCTCCGCGTAATATGACTCGTTGCGTTTCGCTTCGAAGTCGATTAGTTACGTGGTCTTTTTCGCCTACTGAAGCTCGATTGTGAATTTATCTATGAGCATAAAGCTGCGGATCGTACATTAATCGAACAATACGATACCTTGGATATGGAATATTTAATCAACCAATGTGACTTGATATTAAAAAGAATAAATTTCCGATATCTATCACCATATCTGAGTCATAAGGTACATTGGATTCACTTATCTTTATCTTGCGAAGAGATAGAAACAGATGCCATTGGCTAAATAGATCGAAATTGATTTAATTACAGCTTGGGAGTAGGAGAACTGATGTCCTATGGTTGAACACATAATTTCTTACTTCCAAGATTTCTGTTATATCTTTTTCCAAGATATTGAATTGTTCTTGAAAATTGTTTTGTCGACACGCGAGTGTCGCCAATAGTTTTGTGGCTGTCGTTGTAGATGTGCATTGTCGAGGTCACGATCTAAATTGAAGAGAAATTAAAACGAACGTATCGAGAACGATGAGTGCTTGTGTGGAAGTTTGCGTTTCGCATTTAGAAGAGCATTTAGTGAGCCAATTCGTAACTCATCCTGCCACAAGACGACAACAATGAACCTGCGATAAAGCTGTTTTTTTGTTCGCGACAAAAACGGATCTCGTCGGAATATCGATCTCTCGCAAATTGCGCAGCAGGAGGTCGACGAAGCCCACCGTCAAGAAACACGGGAGGCTGGATACGCGAGCATCCTAAGCAATTACGTGCAATCAGCGTCCTAAGCAATTACGTACAATCAGCGTTCTCGTTTCAGCGTCATCGATCGCACGAAAGAGACATTTCCCTCTTTGAACCACAGAAGGTTTTGTTCTGATGGCCGATAGGCAGAGAAGGCAGTTTTCTTCGGAAGCTCCTGCGACGAATAATGAAATTAGATAGACCACTTGATTGACAGAAAAGGCAAACTAAATTATCTTATGATTATTTTCACCTTTGTACAACAATTTTGACGATAAATCTGAAAAAACTGAAAGATTATTCGAGGGAACAAAATTTACAAAGATGACCCGGAAGCGCTAATCTTTGTGTGTCCATGTGTTCTTGCATTAATCGAAGGAGAACTGATATCGCTCTATCCAACGAACTGTCTCGCAAATTCAGCAAATTCAGAATCGCTAGTCGATTATGTCGACGTATAGGGGACGCAAAAAACCTCATGTGAGTTCTTTTCCTAAAAGGTGCACGGGGATAATACAGAAGCCTGCGCATTGAAATCTAGCACGTGGCGATGCCATCATATGCGCGAACGCGTTGTAATTCGCGCGAAGTAACAACAATGATCGCGATGAGAAAGGCGCGTTCGATGGTATATCAGATCGCCGATGAGACACGCATTCTGTAGAGACGGTTTTCTAGCGGCTACCGCTGCTGTGATTATGGGATTGTTGTGGTTGGTGCTGGGGATTGGTGGTGCTGCTGCTGATGCTGTTGCTGCTGATACCGTCACGGTTTATTATGATATACGGAGAGGTGTCTTTAATTTTTTTTTCATTATTGTATAACTATATAACTAATGATTGCCTGCATGCCCCTACCGCGCCTACTACTTCTTAAGAAAACTGACTAACCCTCAACACACGGCTCAACCGAGCATTGTGTTTGTTGTTGTTGTTGTTGTTGGCCACAACACTGTGTTTCTCTTCAGGAGGGTTTACGTACGTATCTGGTCAGCCGCATAGCCTCAGCAAAGCGAACGGCCACGGGAAAGTGTGCGTGCACTGCAAGCAGCGCGGCATGGTAACGTCACGTGGCAAACTCAGGCAGACCCGCTTCAAATGCTGGCCCTGCAATGCCTGTTTGTGCCGCTGGCCATGCTTCGTCGACTATCACAAAATACGCTCGATCCCGCACATCCCACCCCCCTAGCACCAACCCTGTCTTAGCGCCCCGTCGGCAGCGAAAAAAGACTAACTTCCATCCGCTCCGCGATTGGACCGATCGTACGGGCCGCAAGTGGAAATCGGTATGAGAGAATACCTTTGAAATAGGTCCATACACTGAAAGAGAAAGAGAAAGAAAGAAAAGAAGAGATAGAGAGAGAGAAAGAGAGCGCTTTGATCAACCGCGATGTACGTGAGCCTCTTCTGTGTATTCTTTGAAAGCGAGTACTTCCCAAGATATAGTTTCGTATAGGAATTACTGAATTGACCTGTGTTTAGCAGGATGTGATTTCACAGTGAGCATACGTTTTATCAAAAATTTATTTTGTCGGCTGGAAATACCGTTAGAGTATCGTTGACTTCTGAATTTTTTTGTAGTCAGAAATATTTATTACAATAAGAAAAACACATGTTGATTATGTCACAAATATTTTATTGTTAGATCTCTTTATATCATGACGATATTTTTCTTCTTTAAGACTAGAATTCATCAGCATTTTTCTTTGAGTTTCTCCCTTTGCTTTGGCTCTTAGTACCTCACTTACAATTAGATCTAACTCTACCAATGTAGATTAATCTTTAATTTACTCTTTATCCTTTTTCTAATTCTTAGAACTAAAAGAGGATAAATGATTAAACTGAATTAAAGTTAATCTAAATTGATAGAAATGGACATTAGGCATTAGGCAACGTGTATACTCTATACAAAATATTTATGCCAAACTAGTATTTATAACTTGCGATGGTTGTATTTGTAATATTATGTACTAGAGTGCTATCCATACGGCGATAAAACATTGTGTGCATATTGATTACGTGATATTTCATACACATTTTGTGCGTGTTAATAATGTACATTGTTATTTATATTATATACTTTATGAATATGTTGATTGCGACTAGTTGATTGCGATCACACAATGATAGTATAATTTTTAAAAAATACTCAGAATATGATACTACGCTATATACGAGATAACTGTTTCATTCTTCGCTCAAGAGTGTAGTCGAAATTAATTTGACGTTTATTTGAAAATTTTGTTTAAAATTCGTTTATTTGAAGAATTAGATACAAAAACTAAAACATCTCAATGAATGCACATTTTATTTCACGAGCATTTAATAAAGATCATCGCTGTTGTAAATATATTAACATCAAGACACTATTTGGAATACAAATTTAATGCTAAGTACGAGGTTACAGCTTACGATAAAATAAAGCCAATTTAATTTCGACTCTTTCCGTAAGACTTATTAATATATATACAATAGAACCTTATCGATATAATACCGTATAGACGATTTTCAGCCAGATTTATCACGTGGAAATATCCAGGATCTACCTACGATCTCGTATAGAATATCGTTACCGTGAAGATTCAGATGTAACCGATTTGTTAAGAAAATGTTAAGTACAAAGAATAGCAATTTCCTATCCGTTAGACAAATTAAGGTAGCTGTTACAATTTAATTCGTTACACTTGTAAGATAGTTTCAAGAAACTTGGTACATAACAAGATATATAAGCATATGGTATATAACAAACGTAACTGTCACCCAAATTAATCTGGTGCATTATCCGCTCTGCACAGTTCCGAAGATCTCCCAGTAAGATTAAGTTCAACTACTCTGCGAAGTAAGATTGTTTGGATTCTCGTGCTAGCGTCGCAGATTTAACTGTAAGACAGATCACGTATTGCAGTATTATCGCAAACTTCGCAATAAGTAACTGTGGACTGATTACTATTAAAATATTCATACATCATTTTCATCATTTACACGCTGTTGAAAAAAAAAATGAAAAAAAAATCAAGTATTTTTTTGTTTAAACGTTTTTTCTATATTATTAAAAAATTCCAAATATTTTAGTTATTACAAAATATAATATTTGAGATAAAGTTTTACTTTATTTAATATATGCATATCTGTAATAAATAATATATGAAGTTTTTGTAATTTTACAGCAAATAATGGAAAGTTTTCTTTTAGAGAAATTAATTTTTTTTTTATAAGTTAAAATTTAATTCAAAACTTTTAATTTTTTAAAAATTTGCGCAAAGACACGCTCGCTCTAGGAAAGAAATAATAATTGGAGTGAAATACACAGCCAAGATATACGAAGCGTAATGTGTTAATAAAAAATATTACACGACTATTCTTTAAGAACCTCTTTGCTTTTCTTAAGAACTACGTCAAACGTTTTTTTTTTAACGATAAAAACACGAGAAACGAATCCTTCTTTATAGATATTTTCGAACGCCTGGGGGCTTAACGAGCTTCTGAATCTTTCTTCAATGGTGTCGTGTGTCTTCTGTTTCCTCTCTCTGATCTGATTAGGCTTGCTCTACTTAGCTTGCGCTTATCACGCACGTCAGGAAAAAGACGCCAGGAACTGATGGAAGGAGACGTAATATCGTCGTCTTGCAAATATTTGGAAGCACTTTCTATCTCATATTTCCTTTTTATTTTATTTCATTTTGCGTCTCCTTATGTAAAAATTATGTCCCATAGATTATACGCAAGATATTTTTTCATTGCAGTAAGCATCTGTAAAATATTGTAATAATGTAAATGGTATGTATTTGTATCAATGAGAATTGTATAATTTTATTTTATTTATGAATATACAATTTGGAAATATTATTTAATATACGATAATAATATGATTTCATATAAAATGAGAGAAGAAGTATCATTGAAAAATAAATTGTACATAAAGATTGAAAAAACTTATAAATTACATTCATTTTTTAATAAAAAAAGCAATACAAAATTATATAATTCTAAACGATGATCTCGAAGGATCAGCATCTGATAGCGTAGTTCATTTACTTCGCGAGTTTTGCTAAGAAGTGCTTTCAAGTCTTTGAAGCAGTCTTTGACGACGTTGAAATTCTTCTCTCTGACGATCAGCCACGCAGTTTTTCATGGGATGGGTATTAGAATCTAGCTTCTCCGAGAGGGGATGGAACGACACGCGATGGGGATGTTACCATTTAGCCTTCGAGATTTGGCTTCGACTGGGGAAAAACGCGCGCGTGTTTTACATTCGCCGGCGTTGTGTAGCAATGCGTGGTGACGTTGTGTGTTTGTTGTTTTCTTTGTAGAACATGCCGCGGATGGCGACGACGACGACGGCGTCGCCGAGCTCGTCCCGGATGACGATTACGGTCAGTCCGGCGCTGCGGCGGACGGCCTCTTGTTTCGCTGTAGAATTTGTTGGAAGGGTTTCAAGCACCCCATGTCGTTGACACTGCACAAGGACTTGCACACGGGCCAGACCAGGTGCCCGATTTGCCAGCGCATCTTCAGTCGAAGTTACGACATGAAGGCACACTTGCTGCGCATCCACAAACGTCAGCACACATTCAGTGTGTTCGACGTCCAATCAAACTTTCAAAAGTGATGACTCTTTCCTCCCCAGGCTTCTTTTTCGGGTTCTTCCACCGGTTTTCTTGCGATGATTTTACGCGAAGTTAATCGTTACGCGGAATATCTCGCGGGAAGATAATTTAAAAAGATTTCTTGTGTTTATATAGTTTAATATTTGTCAACAAATATATTATAAGAGGCTTACGTACTTAAAGACGAAAGTTGAATGACCTAAAATATAATTAAATTTCAACAGAGTGCAAATAACGGGGATATATTCCCTGAATAATTTCAAATTTAGAACGAGCTTAATTTTTAAAGTATTTGATATGTTCGCTGTCAAACAAATTTCACATCGACAATATAACAACTGCATTACGATATCGTAATATACGTAGGTAACATATTTTAGTATTTGAAAATGAAAGAACAAGCGAGATGTACCCTTTGATGTAGTTGCTAAATGAGATTACGTTTAAGAAAAAAAAAAAAGAAAAAGATAAATTTAATTATGCATTAAGTATTTATGTGCTAAGCTAAAAATTATTACAATCATTATAATCAACAGAAATTCTATCTTAATATGGGCCGAACGACAGTATTTCAGTCTAGTTAAATTGTACAAAAATCTAGTTTCCAAATTATTACATTATTATAACATTCTAAATTATTATACACATAGTATAATGGTACAAAATCGTATGTCTGTTGTAGAATCTCTAAAAGAATTGGCAATCTACCTGAGTAGATGTCTACCTACTAGATCCTCCTATCTAAATACCTACTGTCTCGAAGACGAGCCTCCTGATAGATCTTCAAATCCTGTAACATGGAACATATCACGTCATAAGATCCAAAGAAAGAAGGGACTAGCTAGGCAAGTAAGAAAACCCTGTAAGAGATGTTGCGAGAAGAACATTACAGTATTAAAAAACCATAAGCCCGTCGAAGTAACAACATTTTGTAACGACTGCAGTGGCAAACCTCACTTTTGTTTGCGTTGTTTCAACATAGTGCATCACATCACCGATTAAAGTTCCTTGAAAATCTCGTTGAACAAATAATATCTTCTAATTCACTCCGATGTATTTTTAAGATTGCACTTTACTTTGATACATGATTTAAGATTACACTTTTTACTTTAATACATTAATTATATTTTTATTTTTTAATTATAATTTTGTATCAGAAAGACGAATACGTTTTGTTATGAATACTTTGCATGAATACTTTAATTTTACTTAATGATCATCGTGGCAGCGAACATGTTAATATCGAAAGTTAAGATATCTCGTCGAACTGCAGATTGTCGTCGATTGTACACTAAGGAAAGATATATTTCAGATAAAATACCTTTGTAAGATACTTTTTGTAAAGAAGAAAATATAAAGAATGATTGAAAAATAGTACAGACTAAGATTTAAAAAAAAGGTTCTACTAATGCATTGATAAATATGAACAACTAGAAATTTTAGTAGAAATGCATTTACATTACACACTATCTACTTTTTGCAATAATTTGAATCTTAATTTCTAATAGCAAAAAAGGGAGATGATGTTTTTTATTATTTATAAATAAGAATAACTAAAATTTTCTATTTTGTATATTTTAATATAAAAATCTTGCCAAATTAATTCTATAACGAAGTATTTTTACTTTTGAAATATTCTTTAGGATCGAAAAAATTTATATTGATTTAATTGACGTGCCATGAAATAGAAGTGTAATGTTAAGAGTGTTTAAGAATGTACAATAATTTTAATATTTAGGGAAGTTTTAAAGACGTTTATAACACTGCATATATAACATTGTAAAGCGATTAGTTTACACTCAAAAATTATTTTGAACTAGCCGTATTCTTATATATTTTTGAATGCTGAAAACAATATTGCAAATCACACTTTCAAATCTGATCAGCATGAAGTTCCTGAAATAATTGAAGCTTAAATTGCGTTAAAAATGATAATGAAAAAATATTTTAATAAATTTTGTGTTTAACATTTTTTTTATAAAGAAAATAAACTTTATATTAAAATTCTGATGAAGCAATAAATATTTTGTTCGACTTTTAAAATGTATTTTTTCAATATTATTTTTAAATATTTTTTATTTACTTTTTATAATATTCTGGTAATTTTTATACACTATAATTTTTATACAGAATTAAACAGAGATTTAATACAATAATAAGACACTCCCATTTCTTGTAATAATGAAGATATACGTACATATATATTTATAAGTTGGAGTTATCGATACATATACATAGTGTAATATTTTCACATAATGAATTTTGATATTGTATTATTTCGAAAATCTGACATGCTGACGAAATTTGGCGATATCGTTTTCAGAATTCAAAAAATTATGAGAAACATCTTATCTATTTTAAAATAAAAAATTTTTTTATGAACTAGTACTATCAAATACGTAAACACAATATTTTTTGTTCTTTGTCATTATTGATTTTTTAACTAAATCTGTATATTGATTTTAGGTTTGGCTCATACTTTCTCATTGCACATTTAATTCTAATTGTTTCTAGAATTTGATTTGTTTTTCATCAATATAATTCTATTAATCTGATATATTAATATAATATATTGTGTGTGTGTGTGTATACACACACACATGTAAGGTGTCTAATAAAAACTGTAAATAAGCTAAGAATAGATTTCTGAAATATTTTGTTTTGATATGAAAAAGTTTTAATTACTAAAATATTGAGACTATAGTAGGTTTTTAATTCTAAGCATTTAAAATTAGCGAATCGTACTCAAGTTCGCGCGCTCAGATGCAGTGTAAAGCTGTAATCACACTACAGGTTACCGATTACGGTTACCGGTTATCGATTCTATTTTAGGTAATCATGATACAGCAAATGCAAATTAACTATAACGTAATTGGCGAAAATAGAACTGATTATATTAATATAAACTGTTAAAGACGGATGTTAATTTGTTTCGCCTCTCTTGTTATAATATCGATATAAGGATTACATATGCGAATATAAGATTGTTTTTATTGATATTTCTGCAAACATTGTGCAACATTTTCTTTTTTATAATAACATTTTTTATTTTACAAACACAAGCTCAGATAATATCTCTGTTAGAAATCTGTTATCAATTTCATATCTTACAACTTGTAAGATATGAAATTGATGACAGATTTCTAAAAGAAATGTGATTGCACGATGCGTTTGCAGAAATATATCAATAAAAACAATCTTCAAAATAATATTCGCATATGTAATCCTTATTGATATTAATAAGAGAAACAAGTCGCCCAGCAAATAAGCTTACCATAATTTTAACATCAAAATTAAAAACTTCATTTTGTCATCAGAATGACAAAATAATATCAGCTTGTTCGCTGGGTGCAGCGTTCGCCTTTAGTGTTGTGCCGCATTTGAGCACGCGAACTGTAAGCAATATGATTCGCTAACTTTAAATATTTATCCAAAATTATAGTCTCAACACTTAGTATTAAACTTTTTATTTCAAAATAATCTCATCTCAATGATCTCAGAAATCTATCCTTAAACATTATTACAGTATTTACGGAACACCCTGTATATGTCCCATTTAAAGCTTCCAACGCAATTATCTCTCAAACAGTTCATTATTCCAAAAAATATTTCAAATGGAACTTTGTTACGAGGGAGACATCTTTTGGTGGTTACAGATTCTCTTTAGGTGATAGATTCTCTACAAATCTCTAAGATTTCATGATCTTCAGTTTTTAAAAATGAAATTATATAGTTTTTTTTACATAATATGATTTCTGTAATTATTCTGCGTTATGTAAAAGTATTAAGAGATATAAAAAATTAATAGTTTACAAGATAGATATTTATACTTTATATATGGAGTATCAAATAACTTGTAAACTTGTTAATTTTTTTTTTAATCGTACTTTAATACTTTTAGAACAGAATAGTGAGATGAAATTAATATAAAGAAAGTGCTTATCTAACAAATTATCATTTTATATATTTACATATTTTATATACATATATATATATATATATATATATATACATACATATATAGACACGTTTAATTTTATATGTGTAATGAAAAGACGTAACGTTTAATACAGTGTTATAAAAGCAAGACTTACACTTAGAGACAGATACATATCGGATATTTTACGTTAGAATAATTTGGAGTGAACATGTATTATGTATATATATTCTCGCTAAAGTGTTGCTATATTATATATTATCTTATGTGTGTTTGTAATAATCTTACGTTGTGCGTTTCGAAATTTTTTGTACGTAGTAGCAGTATTTACATATGTTTAATAAACTGTATTATTATCGGAAGTACGATAACTTCTGATACTCGATGCCATCTAATAATGCTACGAGTTTCTAATAAAATGATTGTAAAAAACAATTGTATCTTTTGGATCAACCACGAGCAAGGCTATGCGCAGTCTAATGCGTTAATAGACAAATTGAAATGATAGCGCGTAGTGAGCAACAAATTAGGAATAAAATAAATTAACGGTAAGAATCCTGATTATTTCAAAATGTCGGTTCTGTCGTTAGACTCAAGAGTTTACACACAAGCGTTTGGAGAAAAGTTTGTTTCTTTATTGATGTAGGAGATAAAGTTTCGCATGTCTTTATATCTGCAAGCTTTTTGACATTTCGGCACTTCCAAAGAATTCTCCTTTTCGTTTCTGGCTGGAGGCTTCATTGAATATGCTTATGGGAATTGTACCTACTCACATTGGTTAAGAGTTCTTAACACAGAATCCCGACAGTTGTATTAATGTACGGTACACATACTCGACACAAAATGCGTTAGCGAGTACGATGTATGAAGGGTCAATCCATCAGTTAAAATTAATACAATAATAATTAGGAATAGAAATTGCACATTAATGATTTCTTATTATTCGTTAGAAATTAGTGCTTAGCCCTCTCAAAAAAATATGTGCACACTTACTCATAGTATTACAAATTAATTATAGTCAGTGAATCTTTATTGAAATATTTGTATTTTTAGTAATTGAATCAGCATTAAATGAATATATAATTATAATTTAATCATTAAAACGACAACTTATAATTTATTACAAAATATTGTTGCATTTAAAAGTTCTTGTAATATCAATTTTTTCAAGTAGTCGTATTCTATAATTTATTTTGTGGTACAATTATATTTTTAAATCTAAATTTTCATGATGGATCGTTCCCTCTCATATTTTTGAACGTGCCCCTGACGGCCTGAGACCAAACTTACACTCATCCACAATAAAAATGAAGCATTTAGTGCGATGCAGCGTATAATTATCTAAATTTAACATTTAGATTTAGCCGTGCATTAGTATTTTATAAGTACACATCTCATATTTAATGTTTCATTCAAACGGTCTTAAAAATTTTGATTTTTTTGATACTATAAAATCTTTTATGTATTTATATATAGAAAAAATTTTTCGAGGACTCAAGATTTCTCTTGTCAAACTTCTTAGAGTCTTAAAATTCTCTCTCTTAGTGTCTTTTCACTTTATCGTGTAATATAATTTATAAGGATTAATACATAATTTATAATGTGATAGTATATATTATATAATGGAGTATATATTATATAATGGAGTATTAATATACATGTTATAGTATTTATTATTAATTTTTTATTAAAAAAATTGATATAATTTATATGTTATATATCATATCACTGCAACAGTTTACTTAATTTTTTAAACGATATTTTTTAAACCACTATATACAAAACTTTATCAATGATTTATTATCTTTATTATCGTTTATTTCGGTGC